CACAGAACTTCTATAAAACTGAACTCAACAAGGAGGAGATGTATATACGCTACATTCACAAGCTCTACGACCTGCACCTGAAAGCACAGAACTTCACAGGTACTGCTACGTGGGGGCTCAGGTTGGGAGAAGTGGGCTAGGTACTTGTGTATTAAACATGATAAGTCGGCTTTTTATCAGTTTTCTTTAAAATAAGATCAAAACTTATCATCAGATTGATATTTCTTAATCTTCATTGTATTTTACATTTTGGCTTTTTTCTTTTTTACTCTATCTCTTGCACAGTTTTTTAGAGATTGTTTTTGATGACAAAATATCTACTGACCTTACAGCAGTCTACCTACAGTCATTGTTTTCTTTATTGAAGCATTTATTTCAATGTTCTTGCTTCACTGCATTTATTTCAGTCCCTTCCAGGGGCCGTCACTCATCCCACCTCCTCCCTGTGCTCCTTGTCTCCCTCCTCCTCCTTTTCTAGCCTGTGTGGACTTTGTCCTTGGGTAAAAGCACTTTTTGGTCTCAAATAGTTGATTCAGGTATGCATACCTTAGGAGTATCCTTGTGCCCCTTGTTGCCCTGTCTGTGATTTGACTAGACATCAAGCCATGGGGTGAAGTAAGCTCCAGACCCAGAGGATGATTAACCTGGACGTTCCACCAGCCTCAACAGGACCAGTAAAACTGGTCATTTTTTCAAAGTTGGAGTTGTGTTGCACATATTTCTCCCACTCCATTCAGGATCTTGTGTGATCCCTCTCAGAGCGCTTAGTAGTGGTAGTTGGGCACCACCTCTTTTTCTGGTCTCAGGGTCGCGTGTTCGTGTGGTCCTTTTGTCCATTACACTAATTGTTCCCCTTCATCTTTCTTCCAGAGAGGGAAAGACCAGTAGTCACATCTTAGATGGGTACTCCCAAGCTTTTAAGACCTCAGTCCTTACACACCAAGCCTGATGTGGGACCCTATAATTCACTTTGATTATTCCATTATATTGTATCCATTATATGTATGATATCAGTATACATTGAAAACGCTGTCAATGTTATAACATTTTGCTTTCAGTGCTGTTGAGCTCATTCCACATCGTGGTGACCCATGGATTACAGAGTAGAACTACTCTGTGAGGCTCTCTTGGCCATGATCTAAACCAGTGGTGCTCCACCTTCTTAAGGCCGCGACCCTTTAATAAACTTCCTCATGTTTGGTGACCCCCCAACCATAAAATTATTTTCATTGCTACTTCATAACTGTAATTTTGCTACTGTTATGAATCGGGCATCCCCTATGAAAGGGTCGTTCAACTGTCAAAGGGGTGGCACTGATCTAAACAGAAGCAAATAGCTAGGCCTTCTCTCTGGCATTACATAGCCATGCCAGGCTTATTTTAAAGAAACAGCTCATTATATTTACTCACACATTTAGCATGTGTGTTGCATTTCCTATATCCCTAAAAGCACAGATTTCCCTCAGTTTTTATTTCCCTTCAACCTGAAAATCTTCTCTTAGTATTTCTTTTAAAACAACTCTGGTTGTAAAGAATTGCACTAGTTTTTCTTTATCTGATACTTATTTCTTCACCTGTTCCTTAAGAATGTTTTGGTTGTGTACCTTAGATATGGAATTCTAGGGTGGCAGTTCTTTTCCTTCAGTCCTTTAAATGTTGCTCCACTGTTTTATAGCCTCTGGTTCCTAGTGAAAAATCTGCAATCACTCAACTCACATTACTTCCTAAAGGTAATGTGCCATTTTTCTTTGGCTGCTTTGAAAACTTTTATGATTATTATTATTATTTGGTTTTCAGAAGTTTAATTATGATGTGTAAAGGCATGCTTTCTTTAATCTTTGTGTTAGTCTGGGTAGATTAGAGAAACAAATCCATGGACACACATATGTGTATAAGAAAAAGAGCCAGATACAAGAGCAATTGAACATTGGGAAAACATCCCAGCCCAGTCTAGATCAAGGCCGTAAGTCTGATATTAACCCATATTTCTGATATCCATCTATAAAGTCCTCTTCAGATTCATGAAACACATGCAATGACACTAAATTCAGAAGATCACAGGCCAGTGGGATAGAAAGTCTTTGGATCCAGTGTCACTGGAAACATCTCAGTGCCGGCAGGGGTCTCTCTGTGGCTTCTCTGGCTTCCGAGGTCTGGTTGTGTCCATGTGGCTTGTCTTCTGCAGTGTCTCCCAGGGAGTGGCAGAGAGAGAGAAGTGTCTTCCTCCTCCAAGGAGGAAGTCCCAGATTTCCCAGAATTCTCAGGAGAAGGCCAGGCCCACAGAAGTCTCATTGGCTATCTCCAGATTGACAGCCTAGACTCCACCCCAACACTCTTAATCCCTAAATTGACACCAGATTAGGTGACTACCACAATCTTATTCTGTTTAGGTTTGCTTAGCTTCTTAGATCGATAAATTTATTTCCTTCACCAAATGTGCAGAGTTTCAAAGCCTTTTCTCGTAAATACAGTTCTGCATCGATCTGCCTTTTTTCTAGCTATGACTCTGGTGGCAGGAATTTTGGACCTTTTGGAATTGTCCCATCGGTTGTTGAAGTTCTAGTTCTTCTTTTTTCTGTTGCTCAGATTTGGTAATTGGTATTGATTAATTCATCTTCAAGTTCACTCATCTTCTTCTACCTAAGTTATGCTGTAGAGCCTTTCCAGTGAACTTTTAAATTTTTGTTATATTATTTAGTTATATCATTAAAAAAATTTTTTATTTTACAGAATTCATATCTTTGCTAAGAATGGCAAGCTTTTAAAATTTCAAGTGTGTTCACTTTGACTTCACATTACATTATGTTAGTCTCTCTGTAATTCCAAAATCTGAGTCATCTTGGAGTTGACAGCTGTTGGTTGCTCTCATTCTGTGAGAGGTATTTGGAGAGGTTCCTTTATCCCCTCCAAATAAATGTCAACTCGACTGGACACATATTTCTCAATGGCTTGGCATTTATATAATGATGTGACTTGGCAGTTATATACTGATGTGTTCTGCCCATGATGTGAATCGATGTGCAACACCCTTATTTAGGTTATAGCCTTGACCCATTGTAAGGTGAGTTTCCCTGGTGTGTGGCCTCTGTCACCTTTTATGAGAGAGAAGCAAGCAGAGAAGAAGAAATCTGTTACCACCGAGGAAGATGACTGAGAGAAGAACACATCCTTTCCACTCAGGGTTTCTGCTGTGGGAGGCTCCCAGCCCCAGGAAAAGATTGATGTCAAGACCCATGGAGAGTTCCAACCAATAGTTGACACATAGATGCTGAAGGACTTCCTTATTGCCTGTGAACCAACAGGGAGAGCATGCTTTCCCCTGGAGCGCACACCCTGGATTGGGACTTGTGGTCTCCTGAACTGAATAGAATACGTTTCTGTTTGTCAAAGGCATTCACTGCTAGGGTCTGGTTCAGGCAGCACTCGATAACTGAAATAGAATTTGGTACCAAGAGTGGATGCTGCTCTAACATCTACCTACAATGTGGAATAAGATTAGGAATCAGGTAATGGGTAGGGGCTGGAAGAGCTTATGGTGCCTAATAGTGAAAGCAAGATGTTTGGGTGACTCACTGGGTTAAGCATTGGACTGCCTTAGATGCAAAATGGGTTCTTCAAACCATCACCCAAAATATATGTCTCAATGATGTTACTGTTATGTAATTATGTAATCATCTCCCCAGATCAGTCAATCAGTTGTAAAGGAATTAAGGTGGGATGCAACCCAAGTTACAGGCCTACCTGCTGCGAGAAGAATATCCTGGGCATGTGGCCTGCATCGCCTTTTATCTAACACGAGAAACGAGTAGGAAGAAGAGCCCTGAGGACCACCAGTAGGAAGAGGCAAGAGCAAGTGCATGCTCTGAGCCCAGGGTCCGTACAGTGAAACCCACCTAGACCCGTGGAAGATGGACACCAAAATGCATGGAAGTCCACAAGGATTGAAAAGAAATGAGGACCTTTTTCAAACAGTGGGCCGACTGAGAAGGAAATCCTTCCCTTAGAGCTGTTAGCCTGCTTTGGGCCTTCTAGCCTCCTGACCTTGAGAGCCACCACTTGTGGTGTGTCTGGTATGGCAGCACGCGGTAATGTGAAGACGCCTGGCTCTTGATGAATCAGTCATTTCGCATCATGCTCTAGAGCTGTTGAATATCATGTGGTATGTGTTCTGTGAACATCGGAATAATTTGGCCTCTGTTGGTTTAGTGAGCAGTTAATCCAGTTAATTCAAACTGGATTCATATATAACTGCTTAGCTAAAGGACAAGTCATGGTTCTTGATCATGTGTTCTTCTTTCTAGCATTCTCAATTCTTAGAACAGTGCTCAGCCATGTGAGTTAGTAGTATATCACTTAGGACTCATTAATTAAATTGTAACACCTGGAGAGCAGATTATCTCCTTTAGTATTGATAAATCCTTAATCACTAAGGACACCCCAGTATCTCGTAACCCAGATGTGCTGATAGTTTTAATTAATAGACTATGGTTGTTGGCACTGATTTTGTTTCCTAAGGTCTTAAACATTCGTTTTTAAGTAGTTATTCACCAAATTTTAAGGATAAATAGTTCAGTTTTTTTTATGTGTAGACACAACCTAGTAAAGTTGTTTTATTTTTAAATTCACGCACACACACAAACACACACACACACACACACACACACACACACACGGAACCAAGAGAGAGGTGAGGACAAGCTATTCCATATATATATGGGATATATTTTTATTTTCTCGAATCTAAAACAAAGTCCAAATCTGACTGATTGTATTTTGAAAATGGAGAAATCTTTGTTTACTGAGCTTGTACTTTTTCTGTCCCCCAAAATCAGCGAGCTGGCGTGGCAGTGACAGCCACATGCGCTCAACCATCACATTTTTAAGGCTGGCCCGGGACTGGGCAGTGCTTCACTTTGTTGTCCAGAACTGACTCCACAACACGGAATCATGAGAAAGAAATCTTCTTCCCACATCACCTTTCATTCTTCCGCCTATATCCTCATTTTTATATGCCCTTGGAGAGGGAGAAATTGATGGGAATGCTGTTCTATTTTCAATGGGTTCTGATCAAATGACATAACCCTGTCCTGTGTGGACGA